GAAGGGGGGTTTGGAATATATCCAGAATAAAGATAAATTGAACGAATAAAGAAATGAAAATAATATATCGAAAACACTTATAATAAGAAACCTTGGTTAGTAAAGATCCACCACCAGAATTCAACACTGATCATTGATTAATAAAGTAATTAATTTTGGCGCCGTTGCCGGAGAGATTTTCTAGCTTATTTTGTGTTTGTTTATTTATTTATTCGTTTGTTTGTTTGTTTTTCTCGTTAATTTGTCCCAAAAAAAATCATCAATAATATAATTTTCTTTTCTTTCGTTACATTTACATAATTGCTATACTATCTTTAACGGTTTATGCCTATAACTCGATCTGCTAACAAAGAAATCTTGTCGTACGATCCAGAAATTGAAAGAACTGTACGCAGGTGGATGAAACCAGCTTTGAGGAAATTGGAGTTTAGTGATCTGGCTACTGATCCCCAACCCTCCGCCAATTCTGATTTAGAAGAGGAACCCATGACTCAAAATCGGACTTTAAAAGAGCTTGGAGCTCCAAATTTGGATCAGCAACCTTTATGCATTACTTTTCCCGCTCTGGATGCTAATGTCCAATTTGAATTAAAATCTGGATTAATTCATCTTTTGCCTTCTTTTCATGGACTTGCAGGTGAAGACCCTCACAAGCACTTGAAGGAATTCCATGTGGTGTGTTCAAGTATGAAACCCACAGGGGTTACTGAAGAACAAATCAAGTTGAGAGCCTTCCCATTTTCTTTGAAAGATTCAGCGAAGGATTGGCTATACTATCTACCTTCTGGGAGCATCACCACATGGAATACCTTAAAGACATCATTCCTTGAAAAATATTTCCCAGCTTCAAGGGCGGCCAACATTAGAAAGGAAATTTGTGGTATAAGGCAAAATAATGGAGAGTCATTGTATGAATATTGGGAGCGTTTCAAGAAACAATGTGCAAGCTGCCCACACCATCAAATTAGTGAGCAATTACTCATTCAGTACTTCTATGAAGGACTTTTTCCAATGGATAGAAGCATGATTGATGCCGCAAGCGGTGGTGCTTTAGTTGACAAAACACCCGACGCTGCAAGAACTCTAATTGCGAACATGGCTGCAAATTCTCAACAGTTTGGCAATAGACTTGTCCAACCGTATAAGCAAGTGAATGAGGTAAATATTTCTGCTCTCGAACAACAAATTTCTGGTTTAACTACTCTTGTTCGTCAATTAGCTGTCGGCAATGTGCAATCTGTAAAAGCATGTGGAATTTGCTCGGTAGTTGGGCACCAAAGTGATGCCTGCCCAACTCTTCAAGAAGAACCTATTGAACAAGTCAACATGGCTGGAGGTTTTCCTGGACAACCTCAAGGTAAGTATGATCCATTTTTCAATACATATAATCCTGGATGGAGGGATCACCCAAACCTTAGCTACGGGAACTCACAAGGGAACCAGTTTGATCAGAATCGTTCTAATTTTCAGCAGTACAGACAACCATTTCCTTCAAGACAACACCCAACCTAAAGCTCTAGCTCAGGTATGAATTTAGAAAATATTGTTAAATCTCTTGCTACTAACACTCAGCAGTTTCAACAAGAAACACAAATATCCCAACAAGAAACAAAGGCTAGTATTCAAAAGTTAGAAAGAAAATGGGTCAACTAGCAACTACGGTAAGTCGGTTGGAAGCACAGAGTTCTGGCAAATTACCCTCTCAAACGGTTGTTAATCCTAAAGAGAATGTAAGTGCAATTAGTGTTGAAAGTATGTCGCTGGAAAAGAATGTTGATTTAAACAAGGAAATAAGTGCAGGAATCATTGCCAACAATAAAGAGAAGTCCCAAGGTAAGCTTTCCTCTTTTTCTGATTATGAACCTATACCCCCATTTCCTCAAGCTCTTTTAGAACCAATAAGAGGAAACTCAAATAATGATCTGTATGAGACCTTTCGTGAATGTGAGGCTAATAAACCACTTTTAGATTCTATGGAAAAAGTACCTCGCTATGCAAATTTTCTAAAAGAGGTACGCACTATGAAAAAGAAACGAAATAATGAAAGAATTGGGGAAGTGAAAGTGCAAGAGAATGTTTCTATGGCTAGTCAAGGCAATCTTCCTGAAAAGTGCAAAGACCCAGGTATGTTTACTATTCCATGCAAGATAAGTGGGGTGAAATTTGAAAATGCTATGTTAGATTTAGGAGCTTCTATTAATGTCATGCCATATTCTGTTTATGCTTCTTTAAATCTTGGACCCCTGAATAAATCTAGTATAATAATTCAATTGGCTGATGGATCTACTATATATCCTAGGGGTGTGATTGAGGATTTGATTGTTGAAGTTAATAACTTAGTTTTTCCTGCTGATTTTTATGTGCTTGATATGGAAAATAATAATCATATTTTGTTAGGAAGGCCATTCTTAAAAACTGCAAAAACAAAAATTGATATTCATAGTGGTATGCTTACTATGGAGTCTAATGGTAAACTTGTGACTTTTAATATTTATGATACCATGAAATCTCCTAGTGATGATAATTTTGCAATTTTTGTTGATTCTTTGAACTTTGTTACATTTGATGAAATTGCTTCGAATGAAGAAGGAAAAAATAATAATTCATCTTTGAGTACTAATCTGCATGAAGGGACTGTTTCTTTGAATATTCATAATCATCGAAGGTACTCAAAAAGACGATGGAAATTTAAAGAAATATCATAAGTCGAGCCAACGACGATAAACAAAGGCGCTGCTTGGGAGGCAACCTAAGGTGTATTTGTTCCATTCTTTTTCTTTTATTCCCGTTTCTTATTCAATAACCCTTTTTTCTGTGCTTTTTTATTCAACATTGAGGACACTGTTGATAATAAGTGTGGGGGGGAGGGAATTTAGTTTTATTATTTGTTTGCTTATGTCAAAATTTTCCAAAATTTTCAAAAAATATTTTACTAGTATTTTATGCAAAATAAGTATTATTTTGTAAAAAAAAATTATATTTTCCTTTCTTGAAATTCATAACATAATTGAATAAATAGTTTGGCAAGTTAATTGTGATTAATTTGTTAGCATTTCCTGTTCGATATGTAGTGGCTAGATTAAGTAAGCAATAAACCTGTGAGATTTTGAGCCATCGACTGACATTTCGGTCTTATTTTCTTTCTTTTGTGTGATTTCTTCCATAATTTTGTTTCTCTAGAACTTGCCTTGATTCTCTTTTAAAGCTAATTAGACCATGCATGATTCAAGTGTGATTAAGGCCATTATTTGATTTTGAGCCTCACTAGCCAAATGATCGGTTTGTCCCATGATTTATTTTCCTTCGTTAACCCACTTTGAGCTTTATGGCCATTCTTTTCTTTATCCTGAACCACATTATAAGCCCTTTATATCTAAAAATAATGCCTTGACCCAGCTGAATAACTAGTGGGGAAAATTTTGAATTATTCATGTAATCTGCGTGAGGTTGTGAAGAATAAGTGTGGGGGAAATCACTTATCTTTGTTAATATGATTTGTCGTTGGTCTTCTATGAAAAAGAAAACTATGGCAGTTCATGATTGCAAAAAACAAAAAAAAAAAAAAGAAAAAAAATTTGGAATGAAAAAAATGAAGAATATATGTTTGAAAAAGAAAATGTTGCTGAAAATTTATGAGAAAAATGAGAAAGAATCAGCAGTTTGTTCTGAGTCTGAAGTTACCTCTGAATAAATGAAGCAAGGGGAAATTTTGGTAATACTGAGGAAGCATTCTATACTTTTGAGAATGATAATCATGTTGGAGCCTCAATGAGATGTGTTTTTATTGGAAACTGAGGGTGTTGGATTATTTGTACTTATTTGCTCCTCTAGTTTGAAGCTTATGCTTAAGCTACTTACCTAAATATTCCCTACCTTAACCCTAGCCCCATTACAACCTGTGGAAAGTCCTTATGATTTGTGTCATGCATGACTCTTGTAGTGGTGATTGAGAAGATATGCAAGCCTATGGTAGAGCAATTTTATAGGAATGAATTTGAGTGAAATTTATACCCATCAAACACTTGAGTGATGAGTGATATTCCTGTGAGGGCTTACTTATTTAGTTCTCTCAATTTTCAGACATGGGTGCTAACTTATTAATTGCAGGGTGCTTCAGATTGTTGTTCATGATATGTTACGAGTTTTGGAAATTTTATGTCAATTTACTTCGCAAATAATATTTTTGCTTGGGGACAAGCAAATGTTTTAGTGTGGGGGAATTTGATAGGCATATTTTACACTCATATTTTAGGTACATCTTTATAATAATTTTGCATTAGTTATTTAATATTATCTAATAATTAGTTCTTTTTATATATAACATATAATATATAATACATAATATATAATATATAATATATAATATATAATATATAATATTTAATATATATAATATTTAATATATAATGTTAGTATTATTGATATTATTATTGTTTAGCATATGTTTTTATTATATGGTATTAGGTGTAGTTGACTTGGTGTGGCCTAGTTAATAGGAGTAGTTTCAGTTTAGTTACAGATATACTTTGTATCACAATTCTATCGTAACTGAATCAATTGAATTCTCTAATCTGGTATCAGAGCGGTATCGGTTCTCTCCCCTCTCTGCAAATTATTCCCCCTCTCACCCGTAACCTCCACCGGCCATATTCTCCTCCACTTCTGACCGCGCCATGTCGTCAAGCTCGTCCGACCGCACTGCCTCCGCCACCGCCAGTCCATCTCCGGCCGGCGGGAATGCGTTGTCCGGAGCTCACCACTTTGTGAGCATGAAGCTGACACACCGCAACTTTCTGTTTTGGCGCACACAAGTGATCCCATTCCTTCGTGGCCAAGAGCTCTTAGGGTACGTCGACGGAAGCCTACCGTGTCCTCCGGCCACAATCACCGTTCCGTCGGCCGACGCTGCCTCCGGCGCGACTGCTTCCGTGATCCCCAACCCGGCGTTCAAGGCGTGGGAGAAGTAGGACCAGTCCATTGTATCCCTCTTGGTCTCCTCCATGGCGGATGAAGTCCTCCATCTCGCCGTCGGGAAGGAAACCTCCGCCGCTGTCTGGACCGCTATCACCACGGCGCTTGGTTCCTCGAGTCAGGCGCGCTGCCTCAGCTTGTTGGGGCAGTTCCAGGTGTTACGGCAAGGTCACTCCTCCACCGCCGAGTATCTCGGTCGCGCACAGCTGCTCGTGGAAGCTCTAGCCCAGGCCGGCCGGCCGTTATCTCTAACTGAGCAGAATCTCTATGTTTTCAGGGGTTTGAGGCCGGAGCTTAAGGCCATGGCGGTTTCCCTCATCGCTTCGGGCTCTCCAGTCACGTTGGCACATCTCTTCGATCATCTCCAAGCCCACGAGTTCATACTCGTGGACGATTACCCTGCAGCGAACGAGACCGGCAACCTTACGGCCATGTACGCCAGTTCCGGGCGTGGGCAGCAATCCGGCGGTGGTGGCAGGCAGCCGCATAATCCGCAAGGCAGAGGTGGACGTGGCAACCGTGGCGGGCAAAACCGTGGCGGGCGTGGTGGTCGTGGCGCACCTCGTTGTCAGATTTGCAGATCACACGGCCACACAGCAGTATACTGCTTCAAGCGATACAATACGCAGCCACTTGCGCAGGCCCACGTTGCGCTCTCCGGCGACGCTCCGTCACTACCGTCCACAGCCGCACCGTCCGAGGCGTGGTATCCAGAAATGGGAGCGACTGCCCATGCGACTCCGGATGCCGGGATGATGAGTCACTCGGACGAGTACACCGGTTCAGACATCTTGCGTGTTGGTAATGGCGCAGGTTTGGTGATCTCGCGAGTCGGTCATGCATCTCTACCGTCCAGTTCAAAATCCTTGTCATTGTCTAATATTTTACATGTTCCGTCATTGTCTGTTCCGTTGCTTTCCGTAAAAAAATTCACATCTGAAAATAATGTATTCGTTGAATTTCACTCTAATTGTTTTTTTGTGAAGGATTCAACAACCAGGGAAATTCTACTTAAGGGTCCCACCGTTGGCGGGCTATACAAACTCCCGGTCTCCCGGTGTCATCTAGCGTTCGTCAGTTCCCGGGCCACTCCCACGGTGTGGCACCGCAGGCTTGGTCACCCACATAAATAGCTTCTACATAAAGTTCTACCGAAATGCTCGGTCATTCCAAATAAAACCGAAGTCGTGGAGTCATGTGTTGCGTGTCATCTGGGCAAATCCACAAGATTTAAATTAGATAAAGTTCCCAATATTAGTAAAAATGTACTCGATCTAGTATATACAGATATATGGGGACCTTCTCCTGTAATGTCTACAAATGGTTTCCGTTATTTTGTACTTTTTGTAGACGACTTTTCACGCTTCTGCTGGTTTTATCCATTAAGGATGAAATCAGACATTTATAAAATTTTTGATTTGTTTCGTGTCATGGTAGAGCGACAGTTCTCGCGCTCTATCAAGTCTGTCCAATCCGATTTAGGGGGTGAGTATCGGAAGTTACACACAACTTTCCAAACTCTTGGTATAAACCATCGCCAGTCATGTGCTTATACCCATGAACAAAACGGGCGGGTAGAACGCAAAAACAGGCACATAGTTGAAATTGGTCTTGCCTTAATGGCACAAGGCAAAGTCCCCCACCATTATTGGGACTATGCTTTTGAAACGGCGTCTTGCTTAATTAATTACTTACCCTCATCAGCTATAAACTTTGAGATTCCATACACCCGTCTATTCCAAATATCACCACCATACACTTTCCTCCGTGTCTTTGGGTGCCGATGTTTTCCGTATCTACGCCCATACAACAGGCACAAAATTGAATACCGGTCCACCCCATGTGTCTTCCTAGGTTACCCACCTACCTTTAGGGGTTATAGATGCATTCATTTGGCAAGTGGGAAAACTTATATCTGCCGTCATGTCCGATTTGACGAGACTGTGTTTCTGTTTCTACAGGACATATATCTGCTGAGACGTCTCTCCCAGCTCTGCCTTGGGCTTCGGGTCCTGTAGTCTCAACTACTACCCCACCAGTGGCACCTAGTGAGGTCCCACGTCATATTGAGCCAGAACCCGTGCCGTTGGCACAAGAGCCACCTGCACTGGCTATCACTCATACAGCACCGGCCAAGACCCGCAGAAAAAGGGTTGTGCCGTAGAGTCGGGACCACGTCATGCGCTTGCGTCATCAGACCAAAGGCTCGGACGAACAGTTTCACGCCTTAACGGCCACCACAGACCCAACGTGTTATTCTCAAGCCGTGGGTCACCCACACTGGCGTGAGGCAATGGATCAGGAGTTCAATGCGCTACTCCATAATCATACTTGGCGCCTTGTGGCTCCGGAATCTCACATGAACATTATTGGATGTAAGTGGGTGTTTCGCACCAAACGTAAGTCAGATGGAACAGTGGAGCGCTATAAAGCGCATCTTGTTGCCAAGGGGTTTAATCAGGTGGCCGGCGAAGACTTCTTCGACACCTTCAGCCCGGTGGTTAAACCCACCACTGTGCGTATGTTATTTGCTCTTGCGGTGTCCAATCAGTGGACATTACGCCAGCTTGACGTTCATAATGCTTTCTTGAACGGGCATCTGGCAGAGACCGTCTACATGAAGCAACCTCCGGGGTATGAGGATCCTACCAACCCTGGACATGTGTGTCTTCTTCAGCGGTCTCTATATGGCTTGAAACAGGCCCCACGTGCCTGGTTTAAGCGCCTTCACGATTTTCTATTATCTGCAGGTTTTCAATCCTCCAAAATAGATGTCTCCTTATTTTATTACACGACTGGGGATTCCCGGGTTTTCTTACTCATCTACGTTGACGACATTATTATGATGGGAAATGATGCTAATCTGATCGCCTCTCTCCTAAAGCGTCTTGCAACGGCTTTCAAAATTCGAGATCTAGGCATTCCTCATTTTTTCTTGGGTATTGAAACAATTTCAGACGGTGATTGCATCATTCTTTCGCAACGACGCTATATGACTGATCTCTTGGGCCGAGCTGGGATGGTTGACTGTAAACCGCTTGCCACGCCAGCAGCTATTACCAAGTCAGTTACTCCGTCCGATGAGCCGTTTGATAATCCGACCCAGTACAGACGTGTGGTTGGGGCTCTTCAGTATCTCACCATCACTCGACCAGATCTTGCAAACTCGGTGAATAGACTCTGTCAGTTCATGCATTCGCCAACCACTGAACACTGGGGCCTTGCCAAACGAGTCCTGCGCTATATTAAGGGGACTCTATCACTTGGGTTACGCTTTACACCGTCGTCTTCTACTCGCATACAGGCCTATTCCGACTCTGATTGGGCAGGGTGTCCCATTGATCGCAAGAGTACAAGTGGGTTTGCTGTCTATCTGGGTTCCAATCTCATCTCCTGGTTATCCAAGAAACAACGTACTGTCGCTCGGTCATCCACAGAAGCAGAATACAAAGCCCTTGCTGACGTATCTGCTGAAGTAACTTGGGTCGTCTCTTTGTTACGGGAGTTAGGGCTACACTCTGGGGAGCCTGCCTCCTTGTGGTGTGACAATCTTGGTGCAACTTATTTGTGTGCGAATCCGGTGTTTCATGCGAGCACTAAGCACGTTGAGATCGACTACCATTTTGTTCGGGACAAAGTGGCTTCTGGGGACTTCGTCGTCAACTACATCTCTACTACAGATCAGCTAGCTGATATCTTTACTAAACCTCTTCCAACACCTCGGTTTGCTACTCTACGGGACAAGCTCAATGTTGTGCTTCACCAACCTTGTGCTTGAGGGGGTGTGTTAGTATTATTGATATTATTATTGTTTAGCATATGTTTTTATTATATGGTATTAGGTGTAGTTGACTTGGTGTGGCCTAGTTAATAGGAGTAGTTTCAGTTTAGTTACAGATATACTTTGTATCACAATTCTATCGTAACTGAATCAATTGAATTCTCTAATCTATAAGAATACATACTAATGTATTACGTATTAGTATATATGTTTATGCATTATACACACACACACACACACACACACACACAGATATATATATATATATATATATATATATATATATATATATATATATATATATATATATTGGTGAGCTGTCGTAGGCTTCCAAATTAAAACCTTACAAACGTAGTAGCGGGAGTAAGGATCGATCCCACGAGGAGTAACTAGTTTAACTTTTGTGCTCAAATTAAAGGTAGGGGGTTTCGAATATATCGAGAATAAAGATAAAATAAAAGAGAATTTAAATAAACAAGAAATTTAATTGAACGAATAAAGCAATGAAAATAATATATCGAAAACACATATAATAGGAGACCTTGGTTAGTAAAGATCCACCACCGGAATTCAACACTGATCATTGATTAATAAAGTAATTAATATGCAATTGAATATTTGTCGTGAAATTATTTCATTTCCGTTTTCCCTTAGTTGTAGGTAACTAAAGCACACGCGGTTTAATTACCCCTAACTACTAAATAACCTAAGACAAACGCTATAGATTTAATTTAATAGCAGCAATAGGAACTAGGAAAACCGACAAACTAAATAACACAAGCACAAGCGGTTGCATTTAATTTAGGAAAATATTCTTCCCGAGTCCAATTATCACTAAGCCGTCAATAATTAACCCAGTTGCTACTGAATATTAGAATAATTTGTAGCACAACATTATCTAATATTGCAAACAATTATATCAAGTAAATAACTAGTAGGCCTCCCTAGCAATTAAATGATACAACTATTCAAATAACTTAGAAGAATATTTAATACTCAAAATGCATAAAAACATATATATAATAAAGTTAAATAAATAACCTTACAGCGTTATGAACTCCGGGGCTTCAATTCACTAAACCAACTAGAAATTAGCCAGAAATAGACATTGATAACAACTTCAACGAATACTATAGAGGAGGGAAGAATGAATCAAGCATGAACATTTTAAAATAGAAATCTTCCACTATTTATATACTTTCCAAAATCAACCTAAGCTATTTTCTATCATCCATTTTCCTCCTTTTGCGCTGAGCCACGAAATCATCCGATTTTGCTGCTTGTTCTCGCGCCAGTAATCAGTCGACGAAGCTTTCTTTCGTTGCTACCTGCGCCTCACATTCTTTAGGTGGAATTAAAACAAAACATTAGTTAGTATTTGCTAAAGGCTGGCCACTTAAATAATATATAATATATAGATATATATATAATGTATATATATATATATATATATATATATATATATATATATATATATATATATAGTAGTACGTAATATATATATGTCTATATAAGTATAGTACGTAATATGTATTATATATATATATATATATATATATATATATATATATATATATATATATATATTATATATTTAATATTATATATAAAAAGAACTAATTATAAGACAATATTAAATAACTAATGCAAAATTATTATAAAGATGTACCTAAAATATGGGTGTAAAATATGCCTATCATATATATATATATATATATATATATATATATATATATATATATATATATATATATATATATATATATATATTATTTAAATAAATTTAGTAGTCCAAATAAAACTTATCATACATGCAAACCAATTGAAATTGACTATTCCCTTCATTATGCAGGTGCGGAGAATTATTCATCAACCAAATTTTGCGCGAGAGTATTGGGGAAGACGATTACATGAGGCACAAAAATAGGAGGATAAGTGGTAGACGTTCATTAGGTTTATTTTAGAAAGTGTATAAATAGTATAAGTGTTTTATTGTAGAACGTTCATTCTTCCCCTCTCGATTATTCTGTAAAGCTGTTATCAATATCCATTCATTGCTAATTTCTTTAGCTTGATTTAGTGAATTGAAGCCCCGGAATTGATTATGCTGTAAGATTATTTATTTATTTTTATTATATAATTTTTATGCATTTGGGTATTAAATATTCATTTAAGTTATTTGAATAGTTGTATCATTTAACTGCTAGGGAGACCTACAAGTTATTTACTTGATATAATTATTTGCTATATTAGATAATGTTGTGCTACAAATTATTCTAATATTCAGTAGCAACTGGGTTAATTATTGACGACTTAGTGATAATTGGACTCGGGTAGAATATTTTCCTAAATTAAATGCAACCGCTTGTGCTTGTGTTAATTAGTTTGTCGGTTTTCCTAGTTCCTATTGCTGCTATTAAATTAAATCTATAGCGCTTGTCTTAGGTTATTTAGTAGTTAGGGGTAATTAAACCGTGTGTGCTTTAGTTACCTATAACTAAGGGAAAACGGAAATGAAATAATTTCACGGCAAATATTCAATTGCATATTAATTACTTTACTAATCAATGATCAGTGTTAAATTCCGGTGGTAGTGGATCTTTACTAACCAAGGTTTTCTATTATATGTGCTTTCAATATATTTGTTTCATTGCTTTATTTGATTTATTTAATCTCTTGTTTATTTAAATTATCATTTACTTAATCTTTATTCTCGTTATTTTCCAAACCCCCATTATTTCCTTGAGCACAAAAGTTAAACTAGTTACTCCTCGTGGGATCGATCCTTACTCCCGCTACTACGTTTGTAAGGTTTTAATTTGGGAGCCTACGACAGCTCACCAAATTTTGGCATCACTTTCCTCAAGAGAATCAACACTGATCAGTGCTACTACGTTTGTAAGGTTTTACTTTATTAATCAATGATCAGTGTTGATAGAATATTTTAAATCAAGAACAATTTGATAGACATATTTTATACTCATATTTTAGGTACATTTTTATAATATTTTTGCAGTAATTAAGTTTTATTTTTAAAGATTAATTAATTAATTAGTGTTTTTAATAATTATCCTTCTCTCCCAACTAATAATAATAATAATAATAATAATAATAATAATAATAATAATAATAATAACAATAACAATAATAATAATAATAATAATAATAATAATAATAATTATCCTAAATCCTCTAACATGTTGACCCACCCCCCCACCCCCCAAATCACAGAAAAAGACAAAAATTACAATTTAACATTATATCTATGTTGCTTCATTCCTTCACTTCTTCGTGCAGTAGACACGTACGGCACAACGGCGAGCGGAACTTTGTCAACGACGCTATTCGGACTGCAAGCAAAAGTTCCGAAAGACATGTTCAGC